TACATCAAAGTAGGAATACATCAAAGTAGGAATAAGACCCTCCGGAAAAGGGCGCTTTTTCCGGAGGATCGGGGCCAGTCTAGACGTTCTTTTCCGGCTTTTTTAAAAGCCGGAAAAAAGCGGCGGGCATTTTTATTTAAATGCCGCGGGGGATATTTAAATCCCCCGCGGATTTCCCTACGACGACTGGTGAAATTTACATGCCCCTTCCGGAAAAGGGGCCAGTGTAGACGTAGCCCAACAGTTCTAATGAGAAATATGCTGGTGTAGATTATTTGTGTTGGATAATACTTTACACCTAGTACTAACAAAGTCTAAGGGACTAGTGGGTGAGGAAGGTGCTACTGGTGAAGGTTAAGGTTGTCAAAAACCTGGTTCTTAGTTTTCTATAGTAGACATTTTCCTTTGCTCTTTTAAAGAGTCCTGTGCTGGAAAAAAAGTGATGTGCTGTAGCCTGCAAAAGCTCTATAAATTCTTAAGAGGATATACTTTTTAATCATATAGTAGATGGCAGACTGCCATTCAATAGAGAACATAGGAAGATTCTGAATTGTTAATAACTCAAGTTTTCTAAGCTGTGTGCATATGCACATGCTCACACACTTGCTCTTGCCCAATTCTGGCATGCACATACTTCTGTGAATGCAAGTAAGATGTTGGTTCACACAGCTTCAGTAACTGGGAAGGCAAACCATGACTTCTGAATGCACGTCTGCTGATTTGTCCTATAGTGTTATAATAACTTTAAATTACAAAAATCTCAAAGTGCATAAATTATGTAGATATGAGAATCACCCCATCTACCACTGAAGTACACCCACTTGAGTGGAATGCAACATCTGTCAAACAGGAGACTACAACACCAAATAAGTCAAGAAGTGGAAAAACACCTTAACCAAATGAATCTGCAGAGAACTTTAAGAAGGCAGGATTTATTTATCAGAAAATGATTAAATAATATATCCCAATTGCTGTGACCTGAGCCTTCTTTAAAATCGTCACATTCAAACACTGATAATTCTAGGGATGTAAGCAACAATTTGACTATCCAGTAAGCATAAGCTTATTGGATAGTCAACTAGATGACTTAATGAGATATCTAGCTGCCTTTCTAAAATCAAAACAAAGCTTCATTGTTAGTCAGGATTCAATAATTTGAGGTTTTTCTCTCCTGTGACAAATGCTATAGCAGAACACTTTGAAGACAAAACAGCAACCAGTTAGACCTGCCACAGAAATACAGATTCACTTACCTCTGCTGTACATGGAGGAGTGTTCCTTTCTGCTCAATTTAAGGTATAGCTTGCTTTTCGAATCCCCATCAAATGTAGCATTTGCAATCATTAATGTCTTTAGCTTATTATGTTTTCTTTGAACATCGAAGGCTCTTCTGTTTTTTAAAAATAACGATTATTTCAAGAGTTAGCATTTAATTTGATTCATCATAAGAAACAAATCATTAATCTTGTAAAATAACTGCAAAAAATATTAAAGGTTTTAATAGTTTTGCAGCTACTGTATTTTTCTCTTTTGGAAGATTTCGAAACATACCTATTAATAAATTCTTCTTTGCTATTTCTTCCCTTCCTCCTACTTAATCTCATAAGAAATGGGAATGTAACTACTTTCCCCATTTGTTATTAGTTATGTAGCTGAATATGAAAACACTAACTTTGAGAACATAAACACTTGCTTTCCTTCAGGAGCAAGGCAAGCATGGACATGCTAAGTGTAATTTTCAGAGCTGGTTAGAAAACTTTAAACATTTAAGCAATTTCTATAAAAATGGGGGGAAATTCCCAATTAAAAGGGTTTGTTTCAAGAACAGCCCTCCTAATTTTCTATCCATTGTCAAGCTTACACGTTATACCTAGAGACTGAGTAATCATGAACTTCTTCAGCAGCTGCTTCTGCTACTGCCCATAAATTTCTGCAGTAGCATGATACTGACATCTTTGACAATGGGCTGCTTTAAAAGCACTAAAATTGGCCAGCCATCTGACTCAGAAAACACCACAAAATCATTTTAAATTTATTTATCTCCAAAGTCAGGAGGACTAGTTTTGGTTTTCTGGTTTTGTTTTTTAATGGAAAGCTTGAGGTATAATTCCACTTAGGTCAATGGCATTACAACAACAAAACATTTATACCTGGGTATTTTCAAAGGTTACACTTCATATGGTACTATAGTATAAGAGTTATCTTGTATTCCAGTATACCTCACCAAGAGCTGGCATTCCTCATAGAGGGAAATCTTTTGACATCTGAGGTAAGCTCCAATACTCTTTATATCATGAAGCATTAAACTGGGTCTGGATTTTAGCTGTCCTGGGTTCACATCTTCTATCCACTTGAAAAACTTACACTGGTCAGTTTTGGGGGCATCACAGGTATAAAAAAGGCGACCCTAGAACAAAGACAAGCCATCAAAATTGTATTTAAAAATTATAAATCGACATACAATTTGACTAACCCACAGTGTATGTTCTCAAAATAAGAAAACAAATATGCTTTTTCAGTATGCTCCATGAATCTGCTGGAAAATGAGGCAGCTTTGCAGAATCACTCACTTCTATAATTTGAACTGTCATTCATCACTATCCACAGAATCCAATCTGATAATTAGCAAATTAAATTTAGAAAATGAAGTATCAAAGTAACTATATATAGTTATATAAAAATGTAAAATATATATATAAAATATAATTCACATTCATTTGTAAGTGTCTACAGAATATAATCTAAGTACCATAAAAAAGAAGCAAATAGCACCTTATTTTGACCTTCTTTTTTAACCATAGCAAGCTTTGCTGGATGCTTGTGATTGCAGAGTGGAACACAGTTTTCATTATTTTCCTTGTGCCCATTTTTCACTGAAGTGCAAAAAGTCATGTTCACGTTGGAAAGAGCCTTGTTTAGTCTTTGTGACTGCTCAAAAAGCAGTATGTTTAAATGTTCTTTAAATAAAAAGAGGGAATATTAAGATAACTGTACACAATTTTTGTTTGAAGGTAAAACAAATGCATCTTAACTGTTACTATCGATCTGAAAAATAGAAGGATCTATTTCAAAGATCTAAACCTGGCACCTAAAATGTAACAACATCTTCTGAGTATGAACAATTTAGAAATTGCATAGGCAAGCTAGTTAGTTATTTCCATATGTCCCACTAAGGTATGTAATAAATGTAAGTATTTTCATATTAGGGATGTAAAATCCCAATTAATTTGTTAATCTGTTCAACATTATGTTTAACTGGTTAAACTGAGACAGGTGGGCTGTTCCAGCCTGACCAGAGCAGCCCGGTCCACAGCAGGCCCAGCCTGGGCACGCTGCAGATGGGGGCTGTTTCCAGTTCGCCCAGGCTGAGCTCACTGCAGACAAGGGATGCTAGTGATTAACTGAATAGTTGTGTAAATGCATAAAATATTATTGGCTACATGACTATTCAATAGTCCCTGGAGGCAGTGGGGAGCTCCCTGCCATTCCATGCTGCTGCCTCTGATAGAGGCGGCAGCAGCCCATCCAAAGGGGGGGGTCCAAGCTACCCATGGACAGAGACTGCGCTAACATCCCATGGAGCAGCCCTCTGTCCACAGCGAGCCTGGGTCCCCCACAGACAGAGGCTGCTCCGCGGAAGCCTCTCCTGCCCCGCCACTCATGCTACTGCCTCTGATAGACGCAGCAATGCGGTAAGGGGGGTAGGCTGCTCTGCGGAGCCAGCACACAAGGAGAGCCGGTTTAAAAGCCAGTTTTCCACACGTATCTGATAGAGAGGCTCATGGGAACCAATATGCGTGGAAAGCTCCCGCCTGCCCCCTCACCCTCCATGCTGCTGCCCCTCTATCACAAGCAGCAGCGCTGGGGTAGGGGAGGGCAGGCAGCTCTGTGCATTTGGTGCTCATGGGGAGCCAGTTCAAAAGCTAGCTCCCCACTGCACTGGCTCCTGCTCCCCTTGCTGCCTCTGCTATAGAAGCAGAAAGGGGGGAGACTGTATGTAGTCGATAAGAATAACCAATAAGCCTAGGCTTATCAGTTAATTGTATTCTCACTGACATCCCTACTGCAGACAAGGACTGTTCTAGCTGGGCTGGAGTGCTCCCCTCCTGTTCCAACCCCTTGCTAGTTAACTATAACTAGCAAGTATCACCTGGTAATGGTAATGCTTAACGGTTAACAACATCCCTATTGCATATTAAAATGACTGCACCTGAAGAAGACTTCAGGTACAAATTTTGATGTGGGACTTTTGTGGTGTATAGGCCTTGGGCTAGACATCAGACCAGAGGAGAAGTTCAGCCTGTCTATTCTTGAAAAACTGTATTAAAAACTATCAGTTTTAATCCACTGTTGTCAGACTTACTAAAATAGAAATTATCATTCCCTCCCCCTCCCCACAATGAAGATGCAATACTTAAGAAAGCTACATTTATTGCTACTTTGCATATGACATTCTTCTTTAAATAAATAGTCAAGGACAGAATATGCAAAGGGCCTAATATTCTCAACTATAATAATGTATATATTATAGGGCATCTCTGCTATAAGTTGCCCTGTTCCGCAGTAAAGTTGTTGACACTTGTAGGAACTGATGCGTTATAAGTCCTCCCATTCTCTGTTCTTAAGTCACACACAAAACCCTCCACCAATTTGCGCAAATGGAAGTCTGCCATGGGGAAATCCCCTCTCTCCCCCCTTGCTTTAAGTTGTTTCACTATAAGTCCAAGTTTTTTTTTAACGTATCTTGGAATTAGTGAGGATGGCCTGTATATAACATAACTGAGATATGTGGACAGGGAAGCCAGTTAAGTGCCAAAACAGATTCAAATATAACATTAACATAACATACCACTTTTTCACTTTGTAAAAATTTTAGAAATGAAAAAATCGCAACCTATGAATTTATTATTTTTCATATGTCAGCCATACCTGTCAAAGCAGCTGTAAAGATCTGCTTGTAATGAACATGAGACTGAAACACAGTAGGTATGTAAGTCTGCCTTTTAGGAAGATTAGTACATTTTACTTTATCCCCACTAGGAAAAGATAGCTCAGAGAAAGAGATGTCCTGGAAAGTTTAAAAAAAAAGGGCATTAAAATACTTCCCTGATCCCCTTCTTCTTTTATGAAATAAATTACTAATAGAAGGAATTTTGATTCATAACTCGTATGCAGAAGAGAAGCAGTCTGATTCATTTCAGAGGGACTGCCCAGATGAGTAAAGATAAGCACATATAATTTGGCACAACTAAGGCTTTGGAGAGCACTTACAATACTACCATGTTCATTTTCAGTATGCTAAGCAAAGTGAAATTCACACCTCTGTTGAGAGTCTGCACCAAGTTATGAACAATCTAAGTGACATTTTGAGAGCTTTAGTGGAAGTTAAGTGATGCGTAAGGCACCATGGCAGTCCTTAACACAGAGATGAATTCCACCCAATCTGTAATTAGCACCACTTCTGCAGTACAGCAAGACTAGCTTCAATTCTACAGTTCAAAAGATTTGTGGGGTTCCCTTATTATTTGGGGGCTGATTTATGACCTCCCAGGTTTGTGCCTGGAAACAAATCTTCACAAGTTCTCAAATATCTATTTTCTTGATTTCTAAAGTTGAGGACTTCTGACCACTCTTCTGTCCACTCATTCAATCCACTGTTTTGTGTTCCTAACTCAAGAACATCTCTTGATATTTCTCAAGCACTTAGTTGTTAAAAAATATGATTGGTTCTCTTTTAATGGTAAAGTGGATGACAGCTTGTTTCAAAATGCAGTAGTCTATTTTCATAACATTTACAACTTAACATTCTTATTTGTATGAACAGTCTGTCAGGTCTGGGCAAAATACCCTCCACAAGCCAGATAAAGGCCCATCAAGACACTAGGGATGTAAGCAACTAGTCACTTCCCCCACCTCACTGCCTCTATCACAAAGAGACAGCAAGTAAGGGGAAGTGCAGGGGTGCTGGAGGGAGCCAGCTTAAAAGCCAGTTCGCTCCAGCTCCATGGGAGGAGGCAGGGGCAGAGCAGTGCCAACTTTGAAATGTAACAGCTGCTTTTCTCAGCAACATGTGGGGGGCAGGCAGGTAGTCTGCCTGAGGCTCCCCGCTGCGTCTGGAGGCTGAATCTGGTGGCTTGTAGGGATGTTAAATTTTGATTAACTAATCAAACAGTCAATGGGATTTCCATCGACTATTCGATTAGTCCATAAGAACTTCCATGTTCCGCCTTTGAAACGTACAAGAGACCCAGAGGGGACTCTTGTGCATTTCAAAGTTGGGATGCAGCATGGAGCCTGGGGCCAGCATAAAGTCCCGCTGACACCAGGCTCCACACGGCGTTCCAGCTTTAAAATGCACAATAGTCCCCGCTGGGTCTCTTGTACATTTCAAAGGCAGAACATGGAAGTTCTTATGGACTAATCTAATAGTCAATGGAAATCCCATCGACTATTCAATACATTTTGATTTTCAAAGTTGGGATGCAGCATGGAGCCTGGGGCCAGCATAAAGTCCCGCTGACACCAGGCTCCACACGGCGTTCCAGCTTTAAAATGCACAATAGTCCCCGCTGGGTCTCTTGTACATTTCAAAGGCAGAACATGGAAGTTCTTATGGACTAATCTAATAGTCAATGGAAATCCCATCGACTATTCAATACATTTTGATTAATTAACTAAACATCCCTACAAGCCACCAGATCTGGCCTCTGGAGGCAGTGGGGTGCCTCAGCAAACC